TGGGTCCACTTTTATTCTTAATATACATAAATGACCTTCCTAACTGTAATACAAACAAAAAACTTATAATGTTTGCCGATGACACAACAAAGCTCGATCGATCTACCTTTCTCTGCGAATATTAAACATGTTATACAGGGTGTCCCGAAAAAAGTGTGCAATATTCTACCAGCGGTTTCTAGAGCTTAAAATAGGAAAAAAAGTTTATATAAATATAGGTCAACAAACGTCCCCTAGGGGCGCTACGGTCTTTTAAAAGGGCTCCCCTGAAAATGGTTTTTCCTTAATATTTCCGAAACGTGTTGAGATAAAGACATTAAATTTAGTATTCTATACTAGATTTTTATGCTGGATTTACAAATATTAATAATTTTAGACAGTTTTGTTTGGAAGCGTATGTCTGTAAATCTTGGCATTTTGAATCGATTTAATAAAAAATTTTGATTTCAATCTAGTAATTTTATACTGCTAACAATGTCAGCTTAACGTCAAACTAAGTCATAACAAATCAAAACAACTTTTGTTATCAGTCATGGCTAACTATGTATAATCAACAATTCATTTATATTCGCAGTACATTTCCTATCATGTGACAAATTATTTGGTTTGATTTTATTCAAAAATGGCAAAATTTATCGATATTCAATAAGAGTACCTTTTTTATGTAGAAAACCCAGATATTCAAATTATAAAATTGAATTTCAAAAATAAAATCACACAAAAGTTTTGGGGCTAAAATAACCTGAGTCCGTCCTGCTACATACGCTTCCAAACAAAACGGTCTAAAATTGTTAATATTTTTAAATCCAGCATAAAAAACTAGGCTAGAATACCAAATGTTATGTCTTTATCTCAACACGTTTCGGAAATGTTAAGGAAAAACCATTTTCAGGAGAGCTCCTTTAAAAGACCGTAGCGCCCTTAGGGGACGTTTGTCGACCCATGTTTATTATTATTATTATTATGATAATTGAGATGAGCAGAGTACACAGTACTATAAGCTCATGCAGTAAATATAGTGTACGGACACGTAACACAAATACAAAAAATAGAAAATAACAAAAAAAGACAGTTCATAGCTATAAAGTTTGTACACTCCTCCAGCTATCATACTGCATTTTGAAGCTATTAACTGAAGTAGCACCAACCACACTTTCAGGTAAACTATTCCAGGTGTTGAATATGCGGTTGGGAAGAAACCACTGTCGGACTGTTGTCTTAAATGGCTCCTTATGCAGTTTGAAGCTGTGCCCGCGTAGATTGCTGGGCGACAGACGGTATAGATGCATGAGGTTGGTGCCCATCAAACCATGAAGTATCCTGAACGTAACTATAAGATCGCCACGAAGTCTTCGCTCAGAGAATGAGGTCAGGGTGAATAATTCAAGGCGATCTTCATAGCTTGGTCTTCGTGCTCCAAAAGGGATACGAGTAGCCCGACGCTGTACTGATTCGACGAGATTTCTATCGCGCAGAAGCACAGTGTCCCATACCGGGCCAGCGAATTCAAGAATTGGCCTCACGAATGCCTTGTAAATGTAGGCGCAAGTGTTGACATCGGATCCTTTGAAAGACCTCTCCAGCATGTATAGAAGTGTCTTGGCTTTTGATGTAACGTGGTGAATATGCTCTGACCAGGAAAGGTATCGTTGACTACAACGCCCATATCAGTGTGGCTGGAAAGTGCTTCGATGCTGTGGTCAGAGATCTTGTATGTAAATCGCGGATTTGTCTTCCCGAGGTGAAGGACACAACACTTAGTTAGATTTAAGGGTAAAAGCTAACTGACTGACCATTGACAAACAATATCAAGATCTCGTTGAAGCATAGTAGAATTTACGACAGTATTGTAAATCTTGGTGTCGTCGGCATAAGCTGAACATGTGGAGGAAATCAATGCGGGCAGGTCACTTGTATACAGAAGGAACAACACTGGCCCCAAGACAGAGCCTTGAGGAACTCCACTTGCTACATGATGAAGGTGAGACTGGCTATCACTGACTCGCACAGAGAAAGTCTTCCCGGTGAGAAAAGCCTTAATCCACAGTAACAACTCGCCTCTTATTCCCATACATTCCAACTTAAACAGAAGCCTTCTATGTGGTAGAAAAATCTAAGTAGATTATATCAACAGGAGTCTTTGTGTCCAGATACTGAGTCCAATCGTTGAGAGAGTGGAGAAGGTTGGTCATTATTCATCGACCAGAGAGAAATCCATGCTGATTCTTAGGGATAAGGTCATTTGCTAAAGCAAATGACAGGAGCTTATCTAATATGATTCTTTCAGCTGTTTTGGCGGCGACAGGAACGAGACTTATTGGTCGATAATTTTTAGCGGAGGATTTGTCGCCCTTTTTGAATACAGGGGTAACAGAAGCACTAAACCAGCATGAGGGTAGGGTATGAGATATAAAAGACGATGTGAATATTAAGCTTAATGGTAGGGCCAGTGCTGAAGCGCAGTTTTTAAGTACAGCAGCCGTCATCCCATCTTTACCAGGGGAGAAAGAGGTCTTCAGATTTCGCAGATGCATTAATACATCTTCAGGCAGGAACTCAACTTCGCAAAGGCTGTTGGGACACCTATGGCAGATAGTGGTCGGTAGAAGGTCTCCATTAGGCTCATCAAACGAAGTCATCACTAAAGGACTCTGCCAGTAAGTTGGCAGATTCGGTGGCATCCATGTGGAGATGACCGTCAGCTTCGCGGATCTGAGGTGATGAAACTTCAGAATTCAGGTTTGTCCTTAGATACCGAAACAGCTTGTTCTTATTTTTGGAGGTAACGAGTTTTCGTTCATAAGCATGTTTGGCATTATGTAACGTTCTAGATAGGAGGTTAGAAAAGAATCGATTATATGAACTTTTCTTTCTATTTTAAGCTCTAGAAACCGCTGGTAGAATATTGCACACTCTTTCCGAGACACCCTGTATAATAAATTTAGAAAATTGGTTTTCAGCAAATAAACTTAGGGGGAGTCCGGGAGAGTATACCCACCTTCCACTAAAATGCTTTTAAGTCTTTACACGCTTACAAATCTTCATTTCCGATAAATCATATCTTAGAACGCATTATTTAGCTACATTTTTTCTCAAGAAAGCTTAATGTAGCATTAAGAGTTTACGAGTTATCAACGATTTCTGCCAAGGTGACATTCGGCTAATATCTCCCGCATGGGTGGGAGACTTGACCCCTCGAGTAGGGAGCCTTTACCCTCCACTTTAGGATTAGGCAAAATAATCATTACACATTGTAAATCTATAAATTTAATTAAAAAAATATGGCACCTGAACCTACTCCATCTTTCACATAACTAGGTAACAAACCTTATAAGTAGTTAAAGCTTAAAAGTAGGTAATACAAATTATTTTTTGGTATGGAATCTTGTACGTTGTCGGCAAAATAAAAATTAGAGTTATTCTCAAAATTAAGAACAAAAATAAAATAATACATAACAAGATAACAAAGTCTACTTATAAAATAGTCATACTCTCCATCAGAAACAGGAAGTCAACCTTATAAATAGTTTAAACTTAAAAACCTTGTATGTTGTCAGTAAAACAAAAATTAAAATAACTCTCAAAATTAAGAGCAAAGATAATAACAACCTTCATCAGTCTTACTTTTTTTAATTGGAGCAATTGGGACAAATAAACTGCTCCTTATCGTCTTTGGATAGTCCAACACACATTTCATGGACATATTTGCCACAAACAGCACAAAGTCTCATGTCCATAACTTTGTCTTCCCCACAGATGAAACAAAACCAATTATCAGTAACATCTGGTACTTCATCCCAGGGACTATCAGAACTATCATCATACTTGGGTTCTTCGTCAAGGTCTGTCTCACTGTCACTTGACTGTAAAACTTGTCTTTTTACTGTCTTTTTCTTTGCTTTGCCTGTTTGCCTTTTCGTAGTTATTTTAATTTTCTTATTTTTCGGTGCATACTTATCATCTTGGTCTAGTTTTTCTGGCGTTTTTGTTAAAATTTTAGTTTTTCCGGGCTGTCTACCACGACGAAGACTTTTTCTAGAAGTAGCTTTTGGAAATGGTCGAATTGTTTGTGGTAAAACTATTTTTGGTGTGTGTCCGTAATCAGAATCTACCGTTGTCATATCCAGAACATTAGATGTAGAAGCTATCTCTGCTGATCGTCTTGGTATTGTATTTGCTTGCTCGGATTCTTCCGCAGTCAAAATTGATGGTGAATTGATTCTAGGAGCTGCAGTTTCATTCGTGAATACTGATGCTGATGTTGAAGGCTCTGACTGACGTACAGTAGATGTTGAAGGTAATGCGACCGTGGTTGAATCTGATGGTACTTTTGCAGCGACCGAGGGTGAAGTAATCGAAGAAACATCTTGCTTTTGGAGTTCACTAGTCATTTCTCTATCTGTTACCGCAGAGCATAAAAAGTCGTCATCTGTAAAGATGTCCGGGTTATAGGGGTGTATCCCAGTTGATCGAAATCCACTCAAAATATTGGATAGACTAAAAGCCTGCGACATGATTGTGTTTACAAATCCAGGTATATTGTAGATCGTAACAGTTCGTCCTGGGTTACTGATCATCCAGTTATTCATGGCTGAATTATATCTAGTCTTGAAAGATGAATAGACGGAAACATCTAATGGCTGTAGCTTTCTGCTGCAGTGGGGGGGTATAGTCAGCAAAGTGACTAAATTTGATTTTGCATATTTAACGACTTCAACACTGATATGACTTTCGTGGTTGTCGAGGATAAGCAGGACTCGGTTATTAAGAGATGCGTTCGAATATTTCACAAAATGCTCCATGAATTTTACGAAACTCTTGGTTGTCATCCATCCACTAGGATAGGAGTCACCATGTGAGCCTGGAGGCCCACCAGCTACAAAGCATTCGTTGTATCTAACCCTAGGGAAAATGAAAAATGGAGGAAGAACATTTCCCAGAGCGTTCACAGCGAAGCAAACGGTCACAAGGCTGCCGCGTTCAGCTGAAGTAACTTGTCCTACTTGACGCATATGCTTGCTCGCTATTACTTTGGGACACTCTTGTACAGTCGTACACCCTGTTTCATCACAGTTATAGATGTTATGTGCTTCAAATTGGTATTTTTCTCTAACTTCTTTGAGGTTCTCGAAGAAATCAGTAACGTTTTTTCTATTGAAGCTGGTTGATCTGGATAAACTGGTGGCTTCTGGGGTTCTCAAACTTAGTTCAGGGTTTCTTGTCATAAATCCCCGGAACCAATCTTTTCCTGCGCAGTTGTTGGAAGTCCAACAATCTGGAACCTTTTCGGAATTCATTGTTGCATATTCATATGCTAGCTGCATAGTCGCCTGTCTGGTTAATCCATAATTCATTTTGCTGCAAGCTATAAGATATTCAACAAGCGCCTTCTCTTCTTCGATTGTAAATATCATAGATGTTTTAAACTGGCTTCCTTGTTCACTTATTTTAGTCAATTTAGACCTGTCTCTTAAATAATTTCTTAAGGTATTTCTGTCAATTCCATATTCCAAAGCAACACCTCGGATAGACTTTCCTTGATCAATGTCACCTAAAGCATTTTTTATTACTGACAGATCTAAATTGCTTCTCTTTCTAGTTGTTTGTTTTTTTCTATAGTTGAACGGCATTCTCTGAAATAAAATGAATAAAATTTATTGCGGGAGAAACGACCCTGACAGAGAGGGAGAGATTACCCTGGGTAAAGTCTCCTCCCAACGCCAGGGTAATGTCTCCCACTCCACGCCATACTACCAGTTATTAAATTTAAAAAAAAGCTATGACACTTGAATAAAAGCTGGCTGTCGTAAATATGACTAGAATAATTACACTTACGGTGTATATAAGTGGCGTGCTGGAATCTATCCACAGTAAAGAACAGAGATCAAATGTCGAAAACTGAATAAACTCACTTTCCAGGTACGAAAACGTGTTGCCACTTCTTACTTCCAAACCAAACTGCCGATTGTAACGGCGCTACGTGAGCGGGGTGGGAGGTGCTTATGACGTCTGAGAAGTGTGGCAATGTCGTAACATCTCGTGCCACAAATATTCTATGAGCAGCGGCTATTGTCTCCCACCTGCTAGACTCTCCCGGACTCCCCCTACACTTAATGCTGCAAAGAGACGCAAGTGTATTGGGCGCCAATGAGGACATAAAAATGTTTACCGCAAATCAGATTTGTTATTGGCAACGTTTGACAGTTGCAAACCACTACAAAATCGTCGCTGGAATAATCCAACTACCTTCTCCGTTTGAAGCATGAAGACCTGGGTCTTGCCGCATTTCATTTTAGCCGTAACATAGCCATTTGCAATGCGGCCACATCCTATTGGATCATCCAATTCTTGGCAACGGCGCATCAAACCGGCTGCTTCCAGGTAGTATATGCAAATATGAATGCGGTTATTTAAAATTTATTTCTCGCACTTGGGACACATTGTGTGGAAATTGGCAATTACCATGAACACAATCGATCATTATCAAAAAAGCATATACACAATATAACGTGGCCTTATGCGTCTACCATTATATGCCGACGGAATACACAAGAGGTCTTTCTATCCAATGCAAATGAATGGTATTCACGCCGCTATTCAAAACCGTGCGTTGTCCGTGCACATCGATATTGATCTGGGAAGCAGCGATGTCTAATGATTCATCGATTGAGTTGTCAAAATGGACGCGTTTTGCATAGAAACAGAGAGGCGGACAACGGCTGCCATCCTCCACATTGTCGGGACTCGATGGCCTTTTTCATTTATGTCCATTTGTGTCTAGAGCCTCAAGACCTGTTCAGGCTATATAACTTCTTGTACAAAATTCGACTCAATTTCAGGGACAAGGTCATAATAATATTAAACGGATTTATTTATAACGATGCATTGTATAGATTTTAAAACTAGCTCTTAATCGACATATAATAATAATATAAGTTTATTCACGTATAAAGTATTACAAATTATTGAAAACAAGTATGCATATATACGCAAATAAACTGAAATCATCCCACAGAAGAATTTAATTCTTGTGAGTGGGAAAACATTTTTCATAACAATGTTTGCTTTAAACATAGTTAAATATCGTTAATACATAAATTTAAACACAACATAACCATGAAGGTAAGTGTAATAATATTATATTCAAATACTAATTTATAATCATTTTAGTGAGTTTTTCTATTTCATGCCGATTATTATTTAATAAGAATTTTTTTATTTCAATTCTGAATCTATTTTTATTTGAAATGGATCTTATATGGAAAGATAAAATCTAGTGGAGAGGTAATTGAAGGATCTTTGACGTAAATTTTTTGTTGTAAATGGTGTTCTTTTAATATCCTCGACTTTACTTCTTGTTTCATATTTGTGGTCCAATGAAATGAGGTTTGTTTTATTTTTGAATAAATTGATCAAAACATTGTAAAAAAAGAGTAGCCTAAGATCGAGTAGTCTCGCTTCGGAATGTAACATATCAGATGGATATAGAACTGGCTGTGTAAAAATAATTTTCGAAAGTTGTTTTTGGATTATTTCTAACTTCTTAATTTGGTTTAGTCTACATTCAATAAGTGTATGATATAACATATTCATTGTTTCATGGTCTAGTCTAGATACTTAGTGAGGTACTTGAATTTAAATAATAATCGTCTTAAATTAGTTACAATATGATCAACATGGAAATTCCACTCTAAATGATAATCCAAATGAACACCTGAATATTTTGTTTTATCAGCTGAATGTATTAATGTACTTGTATTGTCACATTTAATTTGTAAAGAGGTAAATGACGGTAATTTATTTTTAAGGTTTGTGAACGGCATATGCTTGGTCTTCTGAAAATTGCTTGTTTGATATTTCATTTACAACAGTTTCTTTAAGATTATCCCAGTAATTGTTATTAGAATAAAGTATCGATGTGTCATCTGCAAAACATATTATTGTGCTATGCGACTTCAAGCTAAGTAGGCTATTGATATACACAGTGAAAAATAACGGACCTAAAACTGTCCCTTGTGGTACGCCATAAGTCACATTTTTTGTGAACTTAAAAAATAATTTATTTGAACATATTGCTTTCCGTAAAACAGGTAACTTCTCATAAGGTTTTGAGCGTTTCCTCTAATTCCTGCATCGTCTAAAGTTTCTAATACTAGCGAGTGATCCACCGTGTCGAACGCCTTTGCTAGGTCTAAGAATATGCATATTGTAAATTTCCTTTGCTCTAATAATTTATGAATTTTTGAAGTCAACAAGGAAACCGCGTCTTGAGTAGATTTATTTTTTTGAAATCCAAATTGATTTTCATGTATAAGCTTATTTTTGTTTACATAATCTTGTTTTGCTTCTTACGTAAGATTTGTCTGATATAATCTGTACTTTTAATTTTTTTTATTTATTGATGTGATTAGCCCAGTAATTACCCAGTTTTTTATAGGAATTTCATTGTGTTTTACCTTAATTTTGTTAGTATTCTTTGAGATATATTTTTTAATAATGTTGCTGAGATGTTTAGATCCTTCATGCACTTTCAACTTTTCGTTGGCTATTAACAAAACTTTCTCGATTAAGTGGTAGTGTTAGTATGATACAATAATGATCGGTTATAGTTGATTTTACGACGAAGGCAGTGCATTTATCAATTTCTTCTAACGTACTTTTAAGAAAAATGTGGTCGATGCAGGTATTGGATTCTTTAAGGACTCTAGTTGGAGCATTTACCAGCGAAATAAAATTGTTTTCAGAAAACATATTTAGGTACTCATGTACAGATAAACTATTGTCATCTATGATGTTTATATTGAGGTCACCATTTAAGACACAATAATCCGTATTAGGAATGCAAACATTCAAATATACTAAGTGACATATAAATCCGAACACCCAGTTTAAATGGTTTTATTTTTAATTTTCAGCCTTATCAGTTGGACATTCCGGTTTTTATACTGCTTTTATTTAACTCACTAACGCTCTAAAAATGAATATTTCAGCCGCAGTAAACAATCAACGTTGCCGGATTTTGGTTCTTGACATCCTTTACGATCGGTTACGATGCCTACAGTACGGAGACCTGTACGATTTCGTCAACTTAGTGAGTTTGATAGGGGCCGTATAGTGGGACTTCGGGAAGCTGGACTTTCTTTTCGGGCAATTGCAGTTAGAGTGCAAAGAAGTGTAGACACTGTGGTTAGGTGTTGTCAGGCATGGCTTCGAGAAGGCCGTACGCAAAGAGCAAGGTGCACTGGACGCCGCCGTAGAACAACAGACCGTGAAGATCGCCACCTAAGATTATTGGCCTTAAGGGACAGTTTCTCCACTACCAGGTCCATTGCAAATGAATGGTTTGCAGAACACGGAAGACCTATTGGCATGCGAAGTGTTTACCGACGAATGAGAAGTTTTGGCTTGTTTTCATACCGGCCACACTGGGTCCTCCCTTTAACTCGAGAACATCGACGTAATCGCCTTGAGTGGTGCAGACAACGGTCACTCTGGGATCAGGAATGGAACAGTATTGTCTTTAGTGACGAGTCTCGATTTTGTTTAAGCATGCACCATGGTCGTGCCAGGGTTAGAAGACGACGTGGTGAAAGGAGGTATCCACAGTTCTTTGTTGAAAGTCATGTTCATCACACTGTTGGAGTTATGGTTTGGGGTGCTATAGCTTATGGTTCTAGGTCACCTTTAATCTTCATCAGAGGTAACATGAACGCGCAGCGTTATATCAACGAAGTTCTAGAACCCCATCTTTTACCCTATCTTGACACCCTGGCAGATCCAACTTTCCAACAAGATAATGCCTGACCACATGTTGCAAGAGTCACAATAGACTTCTTTCAACATAATGATGTCACATTGTTACCATGGCCACCAAGATCTCCCGACTTATCCCCAATTGAGCACGTGTGGGATATGATGGGTAGGAGATTGCTCAATTTGCAACGTCCTCCTCAGACTCTAGAAGCACTTCGAGAGGAGTTGGTGGTTGCCTGGAATGAGATACCACAGGAGGACATTGACCACCTGATCAGAAGCATGCCTAGGCGCGTTGGAGAATGCGTAGCTCATCAGGGTGCATCCACACATTATTAAAGGTCAAAGGGCTTTAAAGGAGTGCCATCATTTTGAAATTTTTATCATTTACTTGTTGTGCTTCATTAAGTACTTATACAAAATTTTATTAAAATAAAACCATTTAAACTGGGTGTTCGGATTTATATGTCACTTAGTATAGTTTCTAAGATCAATTACGAACTGTTTCTCATTACTGGACGGTGGCTTGTATGTTGATATTATTATGATAACAATTCCAAGTATATTTACCTTTGTCATTACCCCCGTACATTCACTGAAGTATATGATTTTTGATTTAGTCTGCAAACTTTATTTTATATAGACTACGACTCCATCATTTTGGTTGAAGGCTGCGTTGTTATGAAATAAGTCATAACCATCCAATTTAAAAAAAAAGTGTATATCATCAATAATCCAAGTCTCAGTCAAAACAATAATGTCAAATTTTTGCTTAAAAGAACTCAGGTATACGTTTAGCTCATCAAAATTCTTCTTTAGGCTCTTTATATTTTGGTGAAAAATACTGAAATTATTTCCATCTGAAACATTATATTCCAGAGCACTGTCCAGGATCATCGTTTCAAAGGGTGTGTAGTTTATATCCTAATATACTGATTCATTATACAGGGTGACTTCGAAATTGAGTCATTTATTTTAACAGTGAGTAGATCTGATCAAAAGAAATGTTTTTTTCCTTTACCATTTTTCTGGTAAAATTAAAGTAACAAAGTTATAGCCCTTTAGAAGTTTGAGTACCGCCCTATCTCAATAATAATATCATGTGCTCGTGTTTGGCAACAACGGATATAATCCGCCTTATCGGTTCATCGCATCGGAAACAAAAAAGCGAAAGAATTTGGAACGATGTTTTTACAATTATTTTATTCAGTTCAGTTATACATACAGTTGTCAGTCGGTAACGCGTGTGAATAGTGTCTGTTGCGTGGCTCAAACGAAATAAAAAATGGCACATGTTTATGCGGATCGGTTTTCCAATCGAGTGCAACCAACCCCTCGTGGCTTTGTTAATGTAGTACAACGGGCTCGTGAATCAGGTGACTTAAGACCTCACAGGGGACCTCA